TTGTTGTATTTTTAGAATTCGTTTATTGAGTACACAATGCATAAGTGTAAGTGGGCTTTGTGTGTATGTGTGCGAGAACGTGGCAACACATTTTCGACAAAATTTCATTTTTGTAATTTTGATAATCGAGGGCCAACAACTTTTAAAAGTCGAATAGGGTTTTCTGTCAAATACTTTCAACTCGGTCTATGGTCGTGCTAGTTAAAGCGTTGATCAGCGATGTCGATGCGTGTTCGATCCCCGCAAAGGGCAGACGATTTCTAATATTTTTTTTTTTTTATGTCTCGAAATATATATTTTTTATTTTATTTAAGCTAAAAAATAATTAATGAATATAAAAAAGTTTAATTTTTAAAATAAGAAAAGAGTGCAACAGGACTAAAAAATCAAAACATTTTAGTTCGCGAAAATATTTTTTGAATATCTATCTATTTAGGTGTAGGGTCTTGCAAAAAAAATAAAAATTTTTAATATAGTTTTTCTTGTAGATTAACATCTTAAGATTATACAAAAAAGTTTTAAGTCAATCAAAAAGAACTTTGGAAGTTAGGATAAAAAAATAATTTTTGATTTTGAACGGCTTAATAAAATATTTAAAGTAAGAAAATAAAAAATAAAACTTCCCAGGGGGCGGGTTTTTTCTATTCTTTAATCGAAATGTAAAAGCAGAATGGAAATTCGTCAATTTTTGGCGGAGATACAGTGAACACCGCAAAACGTCTTTTTTTTAAGTGCTCTATACGTGTTTTACATGTGAAATGTTTTTCTCGAAAGCACGTTTTTTAAAGTCCGTGTTCATCGGCATTTCTAATCGGCTCAACCGATCGTTTTTAAATTTGTCGCATATTTTTCTGCATAAAAAAAACCCGCCCTCAGGGAAGCGTTTTTTTTTTTAAACTTTAAATATTTTTTTAATCATTTTTGGCGGTGGTAAAGAAATTAGTCGATGTTATTTAAATAAGACTCTATAATATACAAAAGGTTTGAATGAAATCCATCTTACCAGTTTTTATAGAATAAATCGCAAAGCTAGTTTATTTTTAAATGCCAAAGACCCTACCCTAATAATAGTGTTACCCTTTGATGGTCAAAAGGTAACTACACAAACAAGTGTTGCCATCTTAAGCAAGCCGTTTAGCCGCTAGGGCCACAAACTATACTTTTCACTTAACTATTCTTTACCCTTTTTCCCCTATATCGATAGTTCGTTGTCTAAATTTATGAACATAATCTGGTAACACTAAAATGGAATCCTTATATTTGTATTTTAATAAATGCTCGCCATCGGAAGAGTCATCATCATCAACATCAAACGATGAGCTCGAACTTAAAAAAAAATTTTGTCAAATCCGGCATAAAATGTTGCATTACTAAGTGCAAAAAATCTTGGCGTCATTTTCCTAACTTAAAATTTTTTAAATTTCCCTCTTCTGAATTAATTTTGGGACAGATATGGAGGGAAAAATGTAATATTAGGCATGCGGATTACGACAAAGACTTAAGAATTTGCGAAAACCATTTTTCTGACTCCTTTATTGGGAAACGATATTTAAAAAAGGAAGCAGTTCCTACCTTAGAATTGGAAGACTTATCTCAAGATGAACCTGACCATTTTGGTGAACCTCTGGATGAACCACAAATTACAGATTCCATATGCAGAAATTGTAAAAAAATTGGGCTATCTAATCGTTTTTATCAAAAAAGGTGCTCTATGTTGCTAAGAAAAATACGATTTCTTAAATCAAAACTTCAGCGAAAAAGGCAGGTTGAGGGACTGAGAAACGAAAAAAATCCTAAGCGATTGGTTGATGCTATTGATTCGGTTAAGAACATAAGTAACGAATCAAAAACATTTTGCAAATTACTTGTAAGTAGTCGACCAAGAGAATATTCCTCCGATGTAAAATTCTTGGCTCAAAACATTTATTATACGTCGCAATCATCCTATTCATTTTTAAGGGATAAATTGAAATTAAATTTACCTCATATAAAAACCGTAAATCGATGGGCTCCACTTAAGTTTCTTCAACCTGGATTCAAAAATAGCTCGTATGAATTAATCAAAAAAATGTGCTTAGATTTAAAAAGTAAAAATGAAACCGATGTGGTCATTTTAATGGATGAAATGGCTCTTAGTAAAGAATTACGGTATAACCAGAGCTTAGATTTAATTGATGGATTTGAATGCAACGGCTTTGGAAGATATAAAAAAATTGCTAACGAGACATGCGTATTTTTGATCAAATCCATCTTTTCAAGTTGGTCTACAATTTTGAACTATTTTGTTTCAGAAAATGGGTTGAATTCAAATTTACTTTGCGACATTATTAAAGAAAATATTAATATTCTAAATACTTTTGATATTAAGGTAAAAGCCATTGTATGTGACCAGGGTTCTTTGAACCGCAGTTGTTTCACCAAACTTGGAGCAACAAAAGAAAACCCGCTTTTTTTAATAGGAAACCGGAAAATTTTTTGTATTTACGATTTTCCGCATTTAATTAAATCATTAAGAAATGGACTTCTGACATGTGACCTTTATACGCCAGACGGGCAGGTTAGTTTTCAAGTTATTAAAGAATTGTGGGAAAAAGAAGATCAGCAAAAAACAAAAATGTGTCCAAAACTAACAAGAAAACACATTTTTCCTAACTCTTTTGAAAAAATGAGGGTTAAGTATGCGACTCAATTATTTAGCAAAACAACAAAAGCGGCTATAAAATCTATTTGTGACACTGTTAAATTTAAGACAGTCTCAAATGATATTGCTATATCGACAGCATCGTTTGTAGAAAAGGTAGATAAAATTTTTGATTGCATGAACAGTGGCACCTTATATGGCGACAACTTGTATCGCTCTGCTATACAGCTAAACAGCGAATCATTTTCCTTTATCAAGTATTTTCTAAGTTATCTTAAAAATGTTAAGTTTGTAGACTCGAAAAAACGAGTACATTTTTTAGATGGTATGGAACTATCTTTAAAATCTGTAATTTTACTGTCCGAAGACCTATTGAAGGATAGTTCGAAATTTTTTTTAATGACAAAGTCATTAAATCAAGATTGTTTGGAGAATACGTTTGCCGTTTTAAGGCAAAAAGGAGGTAATAATAACAATCCGTCTGTAGCAGAGCTTAATGTGACTATAGCAAGAATAATGACTTGCAAAATTATTAAATCTAGCTCATCTTCCAACTGCGAGGCTACTGAAATTGTAGATCCTACTCCGTGCGTGATTCTACCAAATCAGGACCTTGAAGAGGACAGTCAATTTGATATAAAAACCTCAGATGACATAGCTCAAGTTTGTGAAAAAGAGCATATTAATAATATGGCTGAAGACTTTTTTGGATCTACGAACTTTAATTTGCAATTAGTATCAGAAAGATATTTTATAGGATATGTTGCATTTAAAATACTTCCTCTATTGGATTGTAAAAAATGTTCCACAGAATTAAGAAAGCCTGATGAAGTCATATCAGCTCCAAGTGAAATATTTATATTTCACAAAAACTACCACTCCGATACGGACTTTGGAAACCTTGTAGCTCCATCGCAAGTATTAATGGAAGCCTCTTCGAAGCACATATCTATCTTCTATAAAATTTTTGAGAGTCAGCCGGACATATATCTCAGAAGTATGCAAAAGGTCTACGCCAGAGTACTTCTCTGGGGATTGCAGAGATCATAAGCTTAAACTTCTAGATTTTCTTTTATTAGTGCTAATTAGAAAGCACTGTATTTGGGGCCTTGAAAAATGCAGCAAAAGCAAAAAAAAATTAAAAATTATTGGAGGAAAATAATTTTATTTGTAACCTAAAAAACATAGGAACAAAAATACATTCCAAAATAAAAATTAAAAATACTTTAAAAAAAACCAAAAAAATTACAAAATAGGAAAAAACAAAAAAAATACAAAATAGAAAAAATCAACAAAAAAATTACAAAATAGAAAAACAAAACCCTCTTAGAAACCAAAAAAAAAAAAAAAAAAAGTTACCCCTCGCAAAAATCGAAATTCTACAACGGGATTCGATCCCCGTACCGCTTAGATTGGTAGTCAGATGTCTTATCCACTGGGCCAAATGGCAAGCAGTGCTGGGGCCGACTAGATTCCAAGTAGAATCGAGCAGTGCGGGTTCTACTGTTAAAATGCGGGTTCCACCGCTAGAACCCGCCATACGACAGACTCCTTTGTATGACATGTCCTCTCTATATATATATACTCTTTGGTTATACCCAAAATAAGATTTTCTTCTTCTTCCCAAAATGAAAATTTAATTCTGTTTGTCAGTTTGTCCAAAACATGTTTTCTAAGTTCTGAAAATTTGATATGACGTTCATCACATCGCTATAAAAAACTTTTGTTCTACCACTTTTGGAAAAACCGGCTAGTTTAGCAGGAAAACAGCTATAAATAGCTAAAATTCGGAAAGCCGTAACTTATATACTACTAAAGATACAGACTGTGCTGCATCTCGTTTGAAAGGTATTTTTAAATGCTATAAACGCTTTCTATATGCAATTTGTGTAAATGTAATAGTTAAAAAGATATGAACAAAAAAAATTTTTTAAACTTTTTTTAGCTTTTTTTTTAATTTTCTTAAAATATATATCATGTTAATGTAAAAAATCACGTTTAAAAGTTATTAAGAAACGAAAATAGCCACTCTTGCCAGCTCAGAACAACTAACGCTTCCTGAGCATTGAATTTTGTACGTGGGTGTCCAAACTGTATTTTGGGGTCATGGAATCAGTTAATTTGCATTAAACAGTTCCATTTAGGTATCTTTTGTTCTACGACTTTTGGAAAAACCGCTACTTTAGCGGGAAAAAAGCTAAAAATAGCTAAATTTCGTTAGTTTGTAAGTTCTACACTACTAAAGGTACAGACATGTGCTAAACCTCGTTTAAAAGGTATTTTGAAAAACTTCAACGCCTTTTTAACTTAATTCGTTTAAATACAATAGTTTTAAAATTATGATGTGTTATGAACCTAGTTGGTCCTGCGTGATATTTCGGGTTCTCCAAGCTAGCTCAGCTGTTCAGGGCCGTGGTTCCCCGAACCCTGCCCGATCACACACTCACAGAAATCAACGCCGGACTCACATTTATATGAAACCGACGTTATACAACACCATCCTCTGCACCGTAACATAATAACTCACCTTTAAATTCAAATTCCCTACACACGAACTGGACTACTGGTATTTGACCTGGTCTGGACCATCCTGTTGGACTGGAGGTCACATGCTCATCCCTCCCGACCTTGCGAACTGCTTTGAGCAAACTTATTCCGCAGCCGCCCCTAATTTTCCTGATCCTCCTTACTGTTTCCTACATACCCATCCTTACGTGGCTTCTCCTCCCATTCAATTAACTCTACTCCATATTTACTGCCATAACTTAACGTTTATTATACAAAATCATGAGATACATTTAGGGTTTACCTTTGAACCCTATTCGCCAAATCCCTTCTTTACGACTCTCTTTTACGCTTGTTCCTAATCCTACCGTAAGAGCTCTCAAGGTGGAAACTTTTCACTTAAGCACAGATATTTAAATTAACAAAATTTGGGACAACATAACTGGCACTGGTTCAGAGATCCCTTTAAGGAAAATACTTTTGTAACCCACTTTTTAAGATGTACATTGTATGTGTAAATAGGGATGTAGATAGTATGGGTATAAAAATGTAGATAACATATAAATGTAGATAATATAAGTAAATTGACAAGGAATAATTGGTTGGTGAATAAATAAATGAAATAAATAAATAAATGGAGATAATAAATAGCACGAATAATTGAATAAATAAAATAATAAATAAGACGAACAAGACAATATAAAAACAAAATTTCAATTGTACTAAAACTAATAATAAAAAAAAATGGACTGAAGCCGAAAGGCTCCCGTTGCCGCCACTTGGAAGGCGTGTCGGTCTTCCACGACGAAAAAAAATCAATTTTACTCCTGATGCTGGCCAGGGAAATCTTCACGCCAGATAATAAGTCCTGGTTTCTGGTTTTTTCCGTATTTGATGACCGAACTATTTCTTTAATTTAATTTGGTGTCACTGGCGCGCTGCTGCTGCTCGAATTAGATTTGCAAATATTTTATAAATAATTTAACCCGCCTTTTCACTCTTAGACGTATGCAATCTTTTTTTTGCACGTGCAACGCGAGACTTGGAAAAATTTGTGTGAGCGCAGCAGACGTAACGCCCTTGACCGTGACTTTCGTTCTGATCAGCCTATTCCCTATTCCCTACCGTCAACCCGAATTCCGGGTCTCCGTTATTCGAATTTTCCGGGTCAACGGCCGGATAACATTCGGGTGACCAGGTCAAGCCAGTCCTATTTCTGGTATTTAAGCAACCCTGCTTTTTCCCAGAGATTGCCATCGATAAGCCGGGTGACCACCCTGCGCCCACATTCGATATTAGTATCGATAGGCCGGCCACAACAACCACACTGACAATGAACAACAAAATCAAAACAAAAGAACTAAAACAAGAGAATTGGCAGTGAAAAACTGGCCACAAACCCGGATAATTTCAACCCACGGATTTGCGACCACGCAGGACAACGAAGCACCTTCTTAAGCGCCCAACGAGAGAAAACGCCCACAGCTACCGGATTAACTCTGGCCACAATGGATGCGCATTAATCCGGACGGATGATCTGCCCTGTGTCCTGGCCTGTGTTACAGGTGAGCGGTGAAGTCACCATCTCCAGTACGAGTTTTATGCTCCTTTTCTCTTCTAGATCCTCTTCGTTGGTCGCTAGTTCCTCCTGGTTTTAGGTTGCCTCTTTACATGTCCCTTTTAGGATATCTCGGACTCCTCACCCTATTGTTTCAAGTCCTTGACATGAAATGTTCCACACAGTTTTCCGGTCAGGTCCTCGATTTCGTACATGTGGTTGCCCACTGGCTTCCGTATCCTGCATTTAACAAACTTTCTGGCAAATTTTGCATTGAAGTTCTTCCCGAAGTCACTTTGAGCAAAGTTCCTCCTAAAAACTTCTTGCCCTGGCCTAAACGTCACTTGCCGCTTGCTTCGGTTGTAATACCGTGCACTGGTTTCATGTGCTCCATGCATATTCTTTCGGATTGACTCACGCAACAATGCAAACCTGTCTCCCTGTCCCAGATTGTTGATTTCGCTGTCCTCTAGAGCATGCAGCTTCCGTGCCAATAGATAATCCGCTCCATTAGTGAACATATGCTGCCCAAACAGCGCAAAATATGGCGTGGTACCGGTGGCCTGATGAATTGAACTTCTGAGCGCTGTTTCTATCTCTGGCAGGTATAGGTCCCAATCACGGTGATCTTCCTCCAAAACCGCTCTGATTGCGTTCAGGACTGATTGGTTCACCCGTTCAGCCGCATTTGACTGAGGAGAGTAAACGACCGTCTTTGTGTGTCTAATTCCATAACTCTGCATTATTTTTTTTTGCCACAAATTGCTTTCCATTGTCCGAATGAAGAGTCTCCGGCACGCCAAATATATGGAAGATTTCCCCAGTCAAAAACTTCACTACTGCAGCTGTTGTAGCCTCTCGCATGGCTTTAAGGAAGACAAACTTCGAAAAATGATCTACCACAATAAATATGTATGAGTGACCACTTCTTGAACGAGGATACTTCCCTAAAAAATCTATATACAGCTTTTGGAAAGGTCGATATGTCACTGTCTCCTCTCCTAGCCCTGGCCTAGGTGGTCTGTTTGTGGCCTTCGTTTCTTTGCAAACTTGGCAACTTCGGATAAACCGCCTGACTTCCGTAACCATTCCCGGCCAGTAAAAACGTCGTCTCAAGTCAAACAGCGTTTTCGCGACCCCTCCATGAGCTCGATTGGGTGGAGAATGAGCTTGCTCAATCAGAGTTGTGCTCAGTGCCACTGGGATCCAAAGCTTCCAGCTGTTCTCCTCCGCCTCTGATTCCCCGTTGCGTGCCTGCGTCCGTTTGAATATAAATCCGTCGACTACTTTTACGTCCGGTAATTTATCCGAATTGGCCTCTACATCCTCCCTCAATTCCTTGTATTCCGGTGATTCAAACTCTGTCGTCTCAAAACCCAGGATTCCGTCATTCTCCTCAGCCTCCACTTCCTCTACTACCCGAGAGAGCATATCAGCCACGACATTTTCTGAGCCCTTGCGGTGCTCAATAAGGAAATCAAACGCCTGAAACTTCAAGGACCATCTTGCCAGCCTGCCACTCAGATCCTTCAATGACATAAGCCATTTTAGGCTAGAGTGATCCGTTATAACTGTGAATGGCATCATCTTTATATACGGCCGGAAACGTTTCACTGCCAAGACAGCCGCAAAACATTCCTTTTCCGTCACACTGTATTTCGCCTGACATGGGTTTAACTTTTGAGAAAAGAACGCAATAGGCTTTTCTCCGCCATCCTCCTCCATTTGAAACAGTACGGCCCCTACTCCAAAGTCTGAGGCATCACATTGTACATAAAACCGTTTTGAAAATTCCGGGTGTCGTAGCACTGGTGCTGTTATTAGCGCAGTTTTTAATGCCTCCATCGCCTTACTGACCGCCCACTCGTCGATTCGGACATCCACTAAGCGCTGCAAGTCCACTTTTATCTGCTCCTGTGAGGTTAAAATCAACTGCTGTAGTTCCCCTCTGGTGAAAGAGCCGCGAGCTGCCTCATTTTCGGCGCTATATTGCTCCGCTATTGGGTCTAGCTGGATGTTTGAATAGGTTCCATAAGGTGTAGATGCAGCGTCCAGATTCAAGCTCCTTGGAAAAATTCCTCTTTGTTGTGCGCTAAGTCGATTTCTATCCTCCATTCTCTCCCGCCCTTGTTCTTGCTCTAAATTCTCTTCTTGATCGCTCATTGTAGACAAACGGGTACCGCCCATGGGTTTTCAAAATCGAGTTAAACCCAAAACAATAAAAAAAAAATGACTCGTATAGAATACAAAAAAGAAACTAATTCAGCTTCAATTATTGACGGAATTCCTATCAATTTATTCACAAATAAATTGGAGAAGGAAGTCCACTAAATTCCGGATGAAGGAGTAAAAAAGAATCAATACTAACCTACCAAATACCAATAAGTAGCCATTTCCTATTAAACACAACAAAACACTTGGTTTCGTCGACTGTTTAAATCATCAATTTTAATTGATGACTCATAGTCAAGAAATCCCAAATCTTTACCCAATTCTAATTACTTTTCCTTTCTCTTAGGTATAATCTCTTTCCCAATCCGGAAGCTACTTCCTCCCTTATTGTGAGAGCAAAGGACATCCGGTTACACCTCGACCGCAGCAGAACATTGGACTAATATTTGACCATGAACTGGACGTCGGATGCTGGAGAGTTATTTTACGGAAAGGAAACAAATAGAATTAGTTATGACATTTAGTTTTACATTTGCGTTACATTTTTAATCTATTTTTGTATCTTCTGACCAGTTTAATTAAACTAATTTATTTTTTTAAAAGATATATCTCCCACTTTCATCCTTACAACAAGACGCAATGTTTTATATATTTGCCTAACTAAATCCGTCTTTTGTCTGTCCGCCAAGCGTCTACGCATACTGTTAACAATTTTCTTTTGCACAGTGTCGGAGTTGGCCATTTTCGCTTTCACCGATCGCAATAGATCCTCGAAATTATATCTTGACCTAGTCATCGGTTTCTGCCATATCCTGTCCTTGTCTTGTCTATGTATTTTATACTTCTTATTCTAACTACTTATAGCTATATCACCGATCTATATCACAGTTGAGGAATTATCACACAATATCACAACGATCGCAAATCTACACTGGTCCTGTGCCGAGTGGGTGACGCCGCTGTGAGCTAGAGATAATTGCTCAAGGATATATGAACCTTGATAAGTTAATATCTTTATTTACATCCTGGTCTTTGATTCCTGTTCAATACCGAGCAGTCTCGCGAGCAACTGCTCTGTCCAAAAAGGATTTCTTAAAGCAGGCGTAATTTGTATTTTTTTTTTGTTTTTCTACTGTGGAGTTCACAGTGCTGCCGTTTAAATTGGGCGCCATCTGTTATGAACCTTGTTGGTCCTGCGTGATATTTCGGGTTCTCCAAGCTAGCTCAGCTGTTCAGGGCCGTGGTTCCCCGAACCCTGCCCGATCACACACTCACAGAAATCAACGCCGGACTCACATTTATATGAAACCGACGTTATACAACACCATCCTCTGCACCGTAACATAATAACTCACCTTTAAATTCAAATTCCCTACACACGAACTGGACTACTGGTATTTGACCTGGTCTGGACCATCCTGTTGGACTGGAGGTCACATGCTCATCCCTCCCGACCTTGCGAACTGCTTTGAGCAAACTTATTCCGCAGCCGCCCCTAATTTTCCTGATCCTCCTTACTGTTTCCTACATACCCATCCTTACGTGGCTTCTCCTACCATTCAATTAACTCTACTCCATATTTACTGCCATAACTTAACGTTTATTATACAAAATCATGAGATACATTTAGGGTTTACTGTTGTGTTCTCGTTGAGTTCTATTTCAGACTGCTTTATTGTATGGAAAGCTTACAGAGTTGCCAGATTCTTAAAGTACTAACAGAGTATAGAATGGAGGAATAGAAAACAGATATTCGGTTGACAATATATAACACATCTCCTCCTTTAATTAGGAACGAATAGGATTTTTAGGTTTTCGGAAATCCTTGGGCTTAAAACGATTTACTTCTTGGCGAACACGACTACTTTGGCGAACAGGTATGCCGGATGAAAGTCGTGCTGTTTGTTTTTGCCTTGGTTGTTGGTTAGATGATGTGGAGCTCTCAGGTGGCTCAGGTTCAGGATCACGTTGCTGAACGGCTGGCGGAGTTACCGGTTGATCTTCTTGCAGTGGTGGTTGATCTTGTTGCTGTGGTGATTGATTTGAAGATGTTTGCGGAATATCCGGGACCCACCAGAACTCTGGAGGTTTTTCGATGGAGCTGCTTGCTGACAATTTCGGTTTTAGCTGGTTGAAATGGCGCTTGATATAACCATTTGCGGTGCGAACCATGAAAAGCATTTTTCCAATTGGACGGTCGATAAAGCCTTCAATCCACTTTTCTCCCCTTGCATAATTACGAGCGTAGACCATTTGATTTGAGACGTACTTGGTAACCGATTGCTTGGCTTCGACAGGCTGCTCGAAAAGTTGACTTGGCACGGTACGGACTGGACGACCATGGATTAACTCTGCGGGAGATTTTCCGTAGGAATTTGGAGTGAACCTGTAAGAAGCAAGATATTTAGTAACTGCTACTCGGACTGGTATACCGTCTTTAAGGTTTTTCTTGACTGAGAATTTAAACGTCTGAACAAAACGCTCTGCTAATCCATTGGATGCCGGATGGAACGGTGCTGTGGTTATGTGTTTTATTCCATGAAGTGTGCAGAATTCCTCGAAGGCGTCAGCCGTAAGCTGCGGACCGTTGTCGCTGACCATGGTTTTTGGATATCCTTCGATGGCGAATATCGATGATAGTGCAGCGATCGTGTTAGCGGTTGTAGTGGACGACATTTGAACTACAAATGGGAACTGCGAGTAAGCGTCTACGCAGATTAGCCACATGGAATCGAATATTGGGCCGGCGAAGTCGATATGAATTCGCTCCCACGCTGTTGTTGCTGCAGGCCAACTTTGATACTCTTTTGGAGGAGCAGGATTGTTGCACTTGCAGATGCTGCATGACTGAGCAAGGTTTTTAATATCTGCGTCGATCGTAGGCCACCAAACATGTTGTCTAGCTAACTGCTTCATTCTAACAATGCTCCAATGTCCTTCGTGTAACAGCTTCAGGATATGCGCTTGAAGTGTTACTGGGATTATTACACGACTGGCATCTGTGTGTTGGCAAAGCCATTTTTTGTTGATCGTGAGGGCAAATTTTCGATTGAAGTATGGTAATAATGCTTCCTCGCCTTGCTGAAGTTTTTCTGGCCATCCTACAGTAACATACCGTAAGACTTGTTTTAGAAGTTTGTCCTTGTCGATGTGGTTGCGAATGATCTCAGAATTGATCGGTGGTGACAGTTCCATTACGATGTGGCAGGCTTCTTCTTCTCTGTCGAAATCCGGATCCATGCCCACGGGAAGGCGCGATAAGGCATCTGCGTTGCCATGAGCAGATGTAGATCGATACTGTATTTCAAAGTTATAAGCCATGAGAATGATGGCCCAGCGCTGTAGCCTGTTTGACGTCATTAAAGGAAGATGCTTGCCTGGATTGAAAATCGTTACAAGTGGCTTGTGATCCGTTATAAGGGTAAACTTTCGGCCGTACAAATATTGGTGAAAACGTTTCACACCGAATATTATAGAAAGTCCTTCTTTTTCGATTTGGCTGTATTTAACCTGATGTTTGTCAAGCGTTTTTGATGCGAAAACAATAGGTCTCTCCTTGCCATCTTGTTGGATATGCGAAAGGACTACACCGATACCAAAAGATGATGCATCCGTTGCAAGGACTAGTGGTAGGTTTTCATCGAAATGAGCTAGCTGAGTCGCGTTGATAATATGGGACTTCAGGGCTGTAAAAGCTTGTTGTTGTTGCGGCCCAAAAAGATATGCTACATTTTTTCTACGAAGTTGGTTCAAAGGAGCGGCCAACTGAGAATAATTTGGTATAAAATTGCAATAGTAATTAACTTTACCCATGAATGCTTCTAATTGCTGTAGATTAGAAGGCGGACGCAACAATTTAACAGCCTCCAAGCCTGAGCTGTCTGGAAGAATCCCTTGAGCGCTGATTCTTCGTCCTAAGTACTCTATTTCGTCCTTAAAAAAGAAGCATTTCTCCTTTTTGCATCTGATACCGTTGTCACGAAGAATACTGAGTACTTGGTCGATTCGCTTTAGATGTTGCTCGCTTGTAGGTGCTGAGATGATGATGTCATCTAAGTAGTTGCCACATCCTTCTACTCCTTTTAGAAGCTGCTCCAAATACCTTTGGAAGATCGCTGGAGCACTGGCAATTCCGTAGGGAAGGCGCTGGTATTGAAATAGGCCAAGGGGTGTGTTGACGACCATGATAGTTTTTGAATCCTCATCCAGTTCCATTTGAAGATAGGCATCCTTTAAATCGATTTTGCTGAACTGCTTGCCGTGACGTATTATGTGAAACAGAGCCTCTTTTGTCGGTAGTGGGTACTGTTCAACATCGATCTGTGCGTTGACTGCTTGCTTAAAGTCGCCACATATGCGAATAGCGCCACCTGGTTTTGGTGCTAGCACAATTGGGGATGCCCAATTGCTGAATTTGATCGGCTTCCAAATTCCGGCTTGTGTAAGTCTGTCTGCCTCAGCTCTGAATTTGTCCATCTGTGCAAATGGAATTTGACGGCTCTTGAAAAACTTTGGTGTTGCTGACGGTTTTAAAAATACACTTGCTTTGAAGTCTTTTATGACACCCATGGCTGGTTCGAACACCTCGTTGTACGTGCTGCAAAGGTCACTTAATTCGTCTTCGTGCACCTCTTGAACGTTTGATACTTGCATGATATCAAAGCCGAAAATGTTGAATAAATCCATGCCAAATAGATTGTTTGATGTCTCAATGTTCGCAACGATTATGACCACTTGCTTCTCTTTTTCACCGCACTTTGCAATTGTGTGCAACTCCCCAAGCAATGGTATTGGTGTATGACCAAACGCATGTAATACTCGGGAACACTTGAGTAATTTTGGCTTATTCAACAGCGCGTATGTAGTGGCGTTGATCACGGACGCTGTGGCTCCGGAATCCATTTGGAATGATATCACTTTGCTGTGTATTTCAAGATCTATAAGAATCTTGTTCTGCTGACACTTGACTTGACCTGTAACACTGTTTACAGCTTCAATCGTTTCGATTTCGTTTGCTTCGGATTTGCGACTTTTTTGCATTTGCCATTTACCTTTGTCTTGCTTCGACATGCATACAACAGCTATATGTCCCTTTCTACCGCACTTGTGACATACGGCATCGCGAAACTTGCACTTCTCTCTGGCATGATTGTGTCCACAACCAGAGCATGATTTTAGCGAACTTTTGTTTGATTTGGCATCACTTTCACCACCACCAAGGAATGGTTTCTTTGCATAGGTGTGAACTGCGTTTATTGGGTCTTGCTTTGATACTGTTTCTTTGAGGGCTGCCACGGTTTTTGTAGTTGTCTCATAGGTTTCTGCAACTATAAGCACATCTTCAAGAGTTGGCTGGGACTTCTGAAGAGCAGATGCACGGACGGCATCGTATGGTGTATGTACTATGATCTGATCTCGAATCATTTCATTTACATAGTTAGAAGAACAACCGTTGGCATTACAGACAAATTGGCATTCCCGAGCGATCCCGCGCAAGTCGGCTACCCACTCTCTATGCGTTTGTGAATGTTTCATCTCCCTCTTAAAAAACTCATAGCGAGCAGCAACAACGTGTCGTTTTGTTGTGAAATGTTCTGTTAACTTGTCTGTGAGTTGCATGTATGTATACGTGTTCAAATTGTTGCTCCCGAAAAGATTTTTCAATAGTTCGAATATATTTATGCCACACCATGAAAGAAAATAAGCCTTTTGCTTAATTTCTGCACTAACCGAATACGCGTTAAAATGCTGGGTTAACTGTTCAAGGTAAGACTCCCAGTTTTGATTGTCTTTGTCGAATTTGTGGAATGGAGGACACGAAGATAATTCACCCGTGTGGCTTGAATCACCCTGCCCTGGAGAAGCGTTTCTATCCATCATTGCTTGCATCCATTTTTGTTGCTGTTCCATAATGTCTTTTGTAAATGCTTGCTGTTGAGCAAGAATTGCTTGAATTAAATCATCATCTGCCGGCATCTTGATGAAAATCAACGACTACTCGACACGATTTATGCGATTTAACCGTTTTTATCTTTCGACAAAATTTTTCACTTTTTTCCTCGTCGCCAATATGTTGTGTTCTCGTTGAGTTCTATTTCAGACTGCTTTATTGTATGGAAAGCTTACAGAGTTGCCAGATTCTTAAAGTACTAACAGAGTATAGAATGGAGGAATAGAAAACAGATATTCGGTTGACAATATATAACATTTACCTTTGAACCCTATTCGCCAAATCCCTTCTTTACGACTCTCTTTTACGCTTGTTCCTAATCCTACCGTAAGAGCTCTCAAGGTGGAAACTTTTCACTTAAGCACAGATATTTAAATTAACAAAATTTGGGACAACATAACTGGCACTGGTTCAGAGATCCCCTTAAGGAAAATACTTTTGTAACCCACTTTTTAAGATGTACATTGTATGTGTAAATAGGGATGTAGATAGTATGGGTATAAAAATGTAGATAACATATAAATGTAGATAATATAAGTAAATTGACAAGGAATAATTGGTTGGTGAATAAATAAATGAAATAAATAAATAAATGGAGATAATAAATAGCACGAATAATTGAATAAATAAAATAATAAATAAGACGAACAAGACAATATAAAAACAAAATTTCAATTGTACTAAAACTAATAATAAAAAAAAATGGACTGAAGCCGAAAGGCTCCCGTTGCCGCCACTTGAAGGCGTGTCGGTCTTCCACGACGAAAAAAAATCAAATTTTACTCCTGATGCTGGCCAGGGAAATCTTCACGCCAGATACGGCTCAAAATCGTGTCCTCTGACTTGGCAGCTCAGGATCTGGGTCCTTAAAATAATTCGCTCACTGGGTCTGGTCAGGTCTGGAATAGAGAGCCCATTAAATCCGGCCTCCTTCCTGGACTCAGACCACTCACCTTATTTTTGCCCTGCACCGGCTTCCCAGGAGATCTTCCACATAAGTCCTGGTTTCTGGTTTTTTCCGTATTTGATGACCGAACTATTTCTTTAATTTAATTTGGTGTCACTGGCGCGCTGCTGCTGCTCGAATTAGATTTGCAAATATTTTATAAATAATTTAACCCGCCTTTTCACTCTTAGACTTATGCAATATTTTTTTTGCACGTGCAACGCGAGACATGGAAAAATTTGTGTGAGCGCAGCAGACGTAACGCCCTTGACCGTGACTTTCGTTCTGATCAGCCTATTCCCTATTCCCTACCGTCAACCCGAATTCCGGGTCTCCGTTATTCGAATTTTCCGGGTCAACGGCCGGATAACATTCGGGTGACCAGGTCAAGCCAGTCCTATTTCTGGTATTTAAGCAACCCTGCTTTTTCCCAGAGATTGCCATCGATAAGCCGGGTGACCACCCTGCGCCCACATTCGATATTAGTATCGATAGGCCGGCCACAACAGATGGACCAATTTAAATTTAAATGTATATATTAGCTCCTGTGAGAGCAAAAGTAAACAAACAAAAACTTCTGATATCAATCAAAAACACCTCTTAACGAGGTAAAAAACTAGTGACGATCGCACCTTCAACAAACAAAAGTTCTGATATCAACATTTGTGACGAAAAATTTTTACATTCGTCATTACATACACTTTCTAAAATTTTCTCATTCGGCACGCTGCAATAAAAAAAGCCTGTGAGGAGTGAAGAAGAAAAAAGCCGGAATAGTTTGCTAAGGCGGGCCGATTTTTATTTTACTTTGTTATACCAGAGTTGTGCCGTTATCATTAAAAAATGTAATGCCAGTGAAATCAGGCCCATTTGGGTCAAATCTCAGAAATTGAAATATAAGGATCGTTTTTTTTTATTTTTTTTTAACTCTTACCGTTTATTTTTAAAATTTTTTTTTGTAAATTAGCTCAGATTTTTCATATGTGCATCACTTGAGACTCGTTTAAGTTATTTTAATAATTGGTATGAAACTTTGTGGAATATCATCATGTCTTTCAGAAAAATATTTTTAAAAATTTTTAAATTTAAAATTAAGTATTTTTTTATGGAATTTTGAAATTAAAAAAATTTTGTACGCCGGAATACACGCGATTTCCGAAAAAAATAATTATCCTCATTTTGCTTCATCAATTCTTCACGAAGTGGTAAAATAAAATTTTTGTATTTGCAAGACCTACTAGTAAAGACAAAATTTTTAGTTTAGCAACTTTGCATCAAGCAACAACAACGCAACGTGTAAGAAAGAGAAAGCACTATTCCTGCTCTCCCGTGTTCGTTTTAATTTACATTTTGCTATAATTAAAATGTTCTATTTAGAAAAATTACGTTCAGAAGTATTTATAGTATTTTAAAATATCTTTACAACGAGGTATAGTGCAAGTCTGTGGCTTTAGTTACGATCTTCCCAATATTCGCTATTTATGGTAGTTTTCGCGCTAAACTAGCGAGTTTTTTCAAAAGTGGTAGAACTAATGTTTCCTATATCGAGCTGTAACACCATATAAAATTTCCAGGACTTTAAACCATCGTTTTGGGACAGACTGACAAGCGCACAAACTGACAAACAGAATTAAATTTTAATTTTGGGAAGAAGAAGAAAATCTTCTTTTGGCTATAACTTTTGAACGGAGCGTCGGATTTTATAATTCGACGGGTATTTTAAATAGGAAAACAACCATAACATTGCGTGGGGCATTTTTCCCCACCGGCCTCAACAGGTCAGAAATTTCGAAACTTTCACTTTTTCACTTTCACCGCTCTCTCTCCTAAGCCAATTGACTTTTTTAAAGTCTTGGTATGCAATCCTGTTAGTTTTTGCGATACCTTTCGACTGGTGTATCACTCATTATGATCGGACCATCACAGCAGATTTTCAATTCAATTTTCACTCTCCTGGTGCGCTTCGTCACTACATGGACTGCCGTCCATAATTTTGCCGAAAATAATTTTATGGAGATAAATTAAGTTCCGCATCTTTATTCATTCATTAAAGTCGACATTATTTTTTGTGAAAATTCCGAGACATAATTTCTTAGTGGTAGGTTGAATATGTACCTGGCTATGCAATTGAATACAACCTTAATTTTGTTTTGGCTGATCATGTCACAATTTAAAAAAAAACTTATATTCCATAGAAAAGCACTGGAGCGATACATGTTTTGGCTATTATTAAACGTATATTAGTGAAAAGGCAATTTTTGCCTTTTATTGTTTGTGTTTGTTTTTCCCACAGCCTTTGTTATATGGGTGCGTGTCATAACGCTATGACACACTAAAAAGTGTCATAAGGCCCGTGGCCTTATGACATTTTTACGAGTGCCTCTGCAGGCTTCACCTGACCAATGGGATCTGAATTTGGAACATACATATGCGAAGAAATAGACTCCAACCCATGGGGCTTCGCATATAAACTCGTCACAAAACGGCTTCGGGTATTTAGTAGGCTATCGCCGACATGCCCAGTCGCCCTAAAAAGGATAGTGGAAAGAGAGTATGGCGTGAACCTCACAGATTGTGAGCACTGCGAGCATAAAGCTCACAAGTGCCGAAGAAGTCCTCCGGGTATTGAAGACAATACTGGACGACAACCCAGCGGGAATGTGAGAAGTTGGTTTTTGTGTTCTTGAAATCCTGTTCCTTTTTGCAGGCGGCGGTGTAGGGATAGATAATTTCTGAGCGTTAAATGAGGGTGGGTTTCTGAGTAGCATCAATATCAGGCCATTTATGCGCTGTGTGATTTCTGTGGCACTACGATTATAATATTTTTTAACAAAAAAATCACCAACTTATAATATTAAAAAATCCTATGATTTACACCAAAACCAAAAGACTTGTTCTCACATTTAGTTTTAATTTTTAGTAATTTTAAAAGTCGTAGAAAAAATATTAATAATTGTTAATCAAAAAAATTAAACTATATAACATTATTATCATAATGTCTATAATGATAATATTAATTTATTTTACTCAACATTTTTCAAATAATAATAAGGATGAATGTGGGATTCAACCAAATTATAGAGAAAAGCCACGGTAAGACGATTAAAATATTTGATCACATTTATCAAGGAATTACATTAAATTACAAAGAAAACTATTGTTGTTTTTTATATTTTTAAACATTTTCTGTGAAATAAAATAATTTGATCGTCAGATCGTGGCCTAAGCCATTTTTAAGTGTTGTTAAAATATAAAAATTCGTGTTGGTGGTATTGATAACACGAAAAATGCCTAATATACCTATAATATACGTAACCTTTAATGATTACGGTCCCTGAAAAGTATTGTTTAAATATTTATTCGGCGCCAAAGTGTGACCCAACTTTACAACGAAATTTATACCACATTCATCTGCATTTTGTATGGTATTATCAAGAATATAATGCAGGGTCACATCATTTTTAAATTTGTTGGAAAAAGTGGAAAAAAAAGTGAAAATAGTTAATTTTAATCTAAAAAACAATAAAA